GCGCCTGGTGTGGACCTGAGCCGCGTTCTGAATGAGATGCGCGACCAGTATGAGAAGATGGCGGAGAAGAACCGCAAAGATGCCGAGGACTGGTTCTTCTCCAAGGTGGGTGTCCTTTACCAAGGTGGGGTGTCTTCACCAAGGTGAGGTGGCAGGAACCCAGGCCGCTGCCTTCTGGGCCTTCTGGTGTGAATAGTGCTCTCTTTCTCTCTTGCAGACGGAGGAGCTGAACCGCGAGGTGGCCACCAACAGCGAGCTGGTGCAGAGTGGCAAGAGCGAGATCTCCGAGCTCCGGCGCACAGTGCAGAACCTGGAGATTGAGTTGCAGTCCCAGCTCAGCATGGTAGGGACACAGCCGGGCGGGTCAGGAGTGGAGCCGGGGCTAGTGGGGAGAGGAGGGCCCTGCTTATGGATTCTCCTGCTCCTCTTTCCCTCCCTTGCAGAAAGCATCCCTGGAGAACAGCCTGGAGGAGACCAAAGGCCGCTACTGCATGCAGCTGGCCCAGATTCAGGAGATGATCAGCAGCGTGGAGGAGCAGTTGGCCCAGCTGCGCTGCGAGATGGAGCAGCAGAACCAGGAGTACAAGATCCTTCTGGATGTGAAGACGCGGCTGGAGCAGGAGATCGCCACTTACCGCCGCCTTCTGGAGGGCGAGGACGCCCAGTGAGTCCCGGCCCTCGCCCCCGTCCCTGCCTCAGTGCACGCTCACTGTGCCCCGTGGTCTAATAGCCCTGCCCCTTTCTGTCTTCACAGCCTCTCCTCCTCCCAGTTCTCCTCTGGCTCGCAGTCATCCAGGGATGGTAAGACCTTCCTCCTTCTCAAGTCTGAGCTCAGGACCACCCTCTGTACCCCAGCAGGTCTAGGCATGGGTTAGGGACTTCTTGAGAGATTGGTGAGGGCGTTCTTGCCAAGCCCTTGTGAACTTCATTGGATAGAAGAAGCAATTTTCTAAACTCTCCTCAGGGCTAGGAGCGGCAGTCCACGTCTTTGGACTACCCTATGCCTGTGGCAGACCCCATGGTTGTGGCGATCAGCACCAGGGACAGGGCCTCACTTGGCTTTTCCCAGCAAGACCTGTCCATTGGGTAGATTTAGACGAAACCAGTCGGGTCTGGAGCTCTCAGAAAGCTCCAGTCTGAAGACACAGACTCTGTCCCTGACCTTTGGGAACCCTAGCCTGAAATAAATGTGTTGAAGGTATCAGTACTTGGGCAACATCAGGGAGTGAGGCCGTAATCAGGGCAAGGGCAGCAGGGAGAATAGTTCAAGTTCCTCACCTGGGTTTTCCCACTCCTGATCATGGCATTGTCTCTTCCTCTTCCCCAGTGACCTCCAGCCGCCAGATCCGCACCAAGGTCATGGATGTGCACGATGGCAAGGTGGTGTCCACCCACGAGCAGGTCCTCCGCACCAAGAACTGAGGTTTCCCGGCACTGCTCAGGCCTAGGAGGCCCCCTGTGTGAACACAGATCCCGCTCGGGGAGTCCCCTCTCCTGTCCCCCAAGCACCTCACGCCCGGGCCTGACTCACCCTTCACCCCTCCTGGCAATCAATACAACTTCATTGTCTGAGTTGCACAATTCTCGCCTCTGCCTGGTCATTGTTAGGCATGGGGGTGGGGGGGCATATCTCTGGAGCTCGTCAGAGCACCTGGCTGTGGCCTCTGGGACTGAAAGGTCCTGGGGGCGGGTTGGGCTCAGATCCTGGGATGGCTTTCACCATCTTGGAAGACACAGATGGATGTGTGTG